GACTCGGACGGGGCAATTCGTTTGGTCGACCATACAGAATGGATTACTTTTGGATTGGCTTTCTTCGGGCATCTTTAGCCCGTCTGTTAACTTTTCCAAATTTTCATTCCCACGAATACGTCATTAGACATCGTTAGGGAGATTTCAACTTGATTTCTTTAACAACAAAAGTGTCTTACAATCGTGCAACAATTTTTGTTCTAAATACTTTTTGAGCTATTGTACTCCAAAGTCAAAGCGTTACTATTGACCCCCCTCCCTCCCTTAGACCTCTAGACGTGTATCTACGGGGCCCAGGGGTTAAAGAACCAGGGTGCAAGCTTGAAAGTAAAAAAGACCGTGCGTCTAGGATTATTTAGCCTGCTCGTTTTCAACAGGTAGAGAATTCATTCGCGGGGTCTCTTTGACTGCTCTCCAGACGTCCCTTTGATTACGCTCGACGCAGCGTTGAACGTGTTCCGGGAGAACGAGTGTACGTCGGTCGTATAATGCGAAATTACATACGGGGGGGAGGGAGATCGTGGAGAATGCGAGCGGCGCCTTGCGAGACTAGTCGCGTAGGAGTCGAGCGGCGAAATTCTCCGGGAGTTGCGGGCTCGCAGCGATCCTCCGTTGTAACGAGGAGCTACGGGCCAGCCCCGGCTTCAAGAGCTCCCTAACGAAATTAGAGACTAGATTCGCGACTCGAACCAGACCGAATTCTCCTATCTAATTCGGATTTAAACGACCCTTTTAGCGGCGAGCTTTAAAATGTTTAAGCGCGGAGAGAACGGGTATCCGGGCCGTAATCGGGAAACACTTGGAATTACAGGCAGTTTTACCCGGCTGCAATTGAAACTAGATATGCACCCTGATCTTTTCGGGCCTGTGATACCGTAACACTTCCCCCTCCGTTTATTTATACAGATACCTCGCCTATCGAGACAATTAGCAGCGTAACAAAAACAAAACACTAGTCTGGGATACTCATTAATTATCTAGAAACGACGATTTCTCGCAGAGAGTTAAAAAGCTTATCGAGGCGACATATTTGTTAATGTTTCGGATGGAAAAAAATGATGTATTAATTATTGTTACGCTGTTTGGTTATCGCGACTGTCTAGAATAAGTGAAAATTTTCGTTGGTGACGTTTCCCTGGCGAAACGCGATTCCTTTCCGTGGCCTCTTGCATATGCATAAGCGTAGACACATACGCACGACTGTGTCAGAGGTAGGTGTCGGCCTAACGCGTCTCCTCGCACGTGTCCTGACGTATCCTCGTTACGGCCAGGTAACTGAGTACATAGCTGGCTTCCTCGCGACGCGATTACCGTCGCTTGACAGCCTAATTTCAGTAATTAGATATTTAACGTCGCGCATCAAGGCGATTGATTCTGGTCGTTTCCCATCTATGTCACGTTCCCCGCGACAAACACCGCCGGAGCTTTGGCGCTTCTTCCTTGTACCCCGAACGTCGGTGATATTTCGTTCCCGAAAAACCACCGAATCCAAGGAAACACCGTTCCTGGGATTAACATTCAACGATAAGAGCCGGAAATCCCGCGATACATTAACACCTTAATACCTTTACACTTGGAGACTCTTCTTCGACCACCATTAACTCAAACTTTCTTACGAAATAGACATTAAATACTCCAAGCAAACGTATCTTCTTTTTTAACTATCCGCTTAGGTATTTTGTCCTGTATAATCCAAATTCTTTTAAATACTAAATACTGCCAATTTTCACGAAATAAATAGTAAATAATCCAAGCAAACGTATCTTCTTTTTTAACTATCCGCTTAGGTATTTTGTCCTGTATAATCCAAATTCTTTTAAATAGTAAATACTGAAAATTTTCACGAAATAAATAAAATTCCCGGATTAACTCCTATTCTAAATAGAAACGACTAGCACTGGCCACTTCTTTCGGTACGATTGCTTGTAATTTATCCCCAGTCGTATCTTTCGCTGTTAATCGTCCAGCCACGCGATAAAAGTGTACAATTTCGTAAGTCCACGTCGACAGAAACCCGGCGATTAAATGCCCCGCTCGAAGGAGCGCGCGATCTCGCAAAAAATAATTGAAAGCCTAATAGATAAAATACCGAAATGAAATTGTCGCCTCGCGTGTCGCGGCGAGCTGTCGCTAAGTCACGCGAACGACAACGCCTCCCGGAGGCATGGAATATTCACCCTCGGGATCATTGAAAACAAGTACGCATTAACAGTCAACCCCTCTGTGACAAGACCACTTCCCGGATCCATCGAGAACGCCGTGCAAAACACGCTCGAATCTTTCTATCGAGGCATCGCACCCTGGAGACTACAGACTTCGGTAGATTCTACAACTTCGATCCGACACGATCTCTTCTTTCTCGCTTAACACTTTCACTGCCACTTCGTCCATATATTATTATGGGTGATAAAACTTTTCACAGTCAATTCTCAAGTTGAAATGTTAAAGAAAATAAATTTGTTAGAAAGTAAGCACACTGAAATCGAAGTTTTTGGCTGTCAATCAACGTATTAAGGGGATAGACACGGGTAATGCAGCGCTCTGTATACCGACAAAATTTGACACGAAATATGGGTTTACGAAATAAGAGATTTTGCTTTATATGAGCAGCTTTGAGGTCTCATTCGAAAGAGGAACGAGATTGTGTGCACATTTATTAATATCAACGTCGAAAGTCGAGAAAAAAATTCTCGAGGATTCGAGGATATCGGGGATTCTACCGGAAACTGTCGAGGCAAAATTTCTCTCTGTATTTTCATAAAGAACGATGGTTTTTCTCCGAACAGAGAGCCACAATGCGAGAATTATTTTGCATTGACGGGGTTTCTGTGGTCCTCGTGACGCGATACCAGGAACAATACCGCAATCGTGGCACGCGGCGATAGAAATTCACCGACGACGAAGTAAAACTACCATTATAAAGTCCCCCGGACGGAAACTTGCTCGCTACTGCGATATTTAATAACCCGCCCTTAGTTCATCAGTGATAAGTTGATCCAAAGTAGAGAGCATCTTCTCTTCTCGTAATTTTCAGTCGAACGTAGTTATTAACGCGCGAAGACTGATCGCTCGACGCTGTGAAACATCACGGGATCACAAATCGCGGATTACATTAATTTACAGATGAAACGGCGGGAGCTCTCGTCGTTAAAATGGTTCGTCTCGCGGATATTTGCATTGTTTCGCGCGATAATGAATTCGTATCGAGACTGAAACGAAAACTAGGACTGAGGAGCTTTGAGTGGAGGGGAATTTTCGACGTTAAAAATGATTAAGAACGTTGGCGCGTCTTAAAGTGGCAGTGGACACGGGGCAAACAGGGCCAATAACGGAGTAAAAGAGGGATGAAATAGAACGGGGTATAGGTATGGATGAATAAAGGGCTAAGGAGAGGGTTTGAGAGAGGGTGGAAAGAGAGAAGAGGGTTAATTTATCACGAGACTCGTGAAGTTTCGCCCGCCGCGCCAACAAAGGCAACCACGAGTAAAGTTTCCTCCGAGCGATGTTTCACCAGGGGGGATAAGAAAATTCGAGTGGCTTCGCGTCCAAAATAAAAGTTGTGTCCCCCTGGTTTGGACAAGCCTGGAGAGGTGAGTCTATTTACGGGATTTACTCTCATCGTAATAGTTCGAAGCTGCCACGACACGAGAATCCCATTCCCAGGGCTGTCGAATATTTTATTTTCCCTCAGCCTTGCGCTAACTCGCGATAACACGGAGGAATCAACACCGGACCGCGTTGTCTATGGGACCAGATCGCGTGTCTAAACAACGATTAGCTTGTCTAAATATTCGTCTTGGAGATTTACCGAGACGACAGCGGACTATTGTCCGTGTGATAATCACGCGATATCCCGCAGGATCTGATATCTCTGTACACGCGTACGACGTTGCATACCGGGGATGAAAAACTCGTCCCAAACGAACGGTAATTATCGTTTCGAAGAGCAGCTAATTAAAATAAAATAAGCCACCCGTGAAACGATGACAAAGAGATATCAGATCTGCAGGGAGGAGGAGTTCAAAAGGGAAGTTGAAGTTCGAAGGAACTTGTTAATAAATAAAATATTTCCACGGTTCCCTTTGGACCAGCGAGAACGTAATTATACTCGGCTCTGTCTCGTTGGCAGAAAGAATAATTTTCGATGACTCGATGAACTCCGGTGAACCGAGGAATACCTCATTGCTCGAACGAAAATTGAATAAAAACGAACGCGATCCTCCGATGGAACAACGCGGACGATCTAATATTTAAAGAAATTGCTGTCGTTCTTACGGGAGACGATTCGCGAGTAATCGCGTGAGACGTCGAGCAATAATTCCTGCGCGCGCGATTTATCAAACTGGCGGGTGTAAAAAATTCAAAGGGTAAAGGCGCGCTCCATCGAAACGAACGTGAAATTGTTTTCAATGTCCCGAAAGAATTATGGCTAGCGCGCGACCCGAAATTAATGGCACGAACAAGGTCAGGGAGATACCGTGACACCGGGAGTATGACGAAAGCCAAGAGTTACGAGCCGTTCGTTTATAATACGAACGACGAACAAACCTTGGACGGCCATCATCGTCGAGGCTATCGCGTGCAAGAAGTTACGCGCGACAGTTGGAACGAAATTTTTCGTCCGGGATCGAGAGGGATCGAAAGCTACGTAGAGCGCATACAAATCCCCAGATTGAACGAGGAGGGGGCTGGGAGGGGGGAGTATTTTTCCAATTTCATATTAAATCTACCGGTTCGCGTTTCTCCACCTCTCCATCGACCGTGAAACCAGCTCGATTATTTCCAACGCGAAACAATCACTCGTAATAGAACTGCGAGAGGAAAAGGGACCGGGGGGGAGGGGGTGGAAACGAAGGCACCCGGCACGTGACGTAACAGGGGGATTTTCCTTTGTTTTCCAAACGGTTGTCCTCTCAAAGAAACGAACCTTCCAAGACTTTACTCGCAAGACCAAGAAATTACGTGCCTGCTCTCCACCCTAAAGAAAGTCGTCTCCCCTCTTTTTTTTCAGATACTACACCGTGCAATATTTATTTCCCGATCGTTCGACACGGATACAATTTAAAAAAAAAAAAAAGGAACCAGAATCGGTGAATAATTTTAGTCTAATTTAAACGTGGTGCGTCCTCGAATGACAAAAATACCTCGAGCGGGTGGACCACCATTGATTTTCGAACTATTTAAACGTTGATGCCGCGCTTCTTGGCGTCGTTCTCGAATTTGTGCGTGTACTCGCCGGTTGGGTCGTACTTCTTCTTCAGTTTCTCCCACATTTGTGGCCGCTGAAACATAAACACACATCGCGTTACGTACAAATCAAATTTATTCTATATATACGTGTATACGTTTTTAAATTTATCATTCGTGTAACGTTCCGTTTGTTTCCTCTACTTGTTCACGATCTTCCTTAACGAACGCTGATCCAATGAAAAATTTGAACGTTTCCAAAGGCAAAATAAATATTACGTCTTCCTCGAAATCATTCGAGTCCCGTCTGTACAACTTTTTGTACAACGTTTTTTAATTCTTTCGCGTAACCTCTAATAAATATTGATCGATGCTCGAAAAAATGCATTAGCATGGAAGTTATATTTCGAAGAATCCGAGCTAAAAAAAAGATGACGCGTACGAGCGACTGATAACAGTTGGTAAAAAAAAATAACCGATAGGAACGATGAAAACTCCGGGAAGACGAGCAAATAACAGCGTCGAAGTTGGCTGGGCGAAGTTCGACGCTAAATGGATTAACCGGTTTGTCCCAGGGCATAGGTTAACGATTATTAAGCGAGGAAGAATTCCTGGATACCCCTCTGGGCGAGTCGAACCAAGGGGGAGGGAAGAAGTAAGCGACAAGGGCGATCCGCGTGGAAGTATTTGGTCCGACGAGGAAAGTTTTCCAAGTCCCGGGAGTCGAACTAACGTCGAACCCCGTGAAAGTAAAACCAGTTCCAAAGCGACGCGTTATCCAGAGTTCGCGATACGCGTGCACGCGCGACTCGTTGCGAATTCGCGTCCAACTAGCCATGGAAAAGTGAACGCCGATCGTCGGTGAACGTACCTCGTTAACCAGATACCGGATAACCTTGTCGCTGCCTATTTTCTGCTTCTCGCTGCACTTGCTGCACTCGGTCGCCAATGCGTCCGGCAACGATTCTGAAATCAAAGGAAAACCATTTCTGTAGAAGATGCACAATTCGATCGAATCTATTCCAATCTGGACCTTTGTACATGTATTTCATTAATGAATCCCTTAACCCTTAATTGGGCCCTCCACAAATTTAACTAACATTAGTTTTTTAGAAGGTGCTGAAAAAAAAATTTCAAATCGCTCTAAAAAAAATATTGTTAGTCGCAGGGGTCAATTTCAATCATTTTTGGTGAACACACATACCCCCGAAATCCTACTCAGTTTCGAGAAAAAAATTCTTTACCGAAAAATACAATGTTTGACCAATGTTTGATCAATTCCACTTGAAATTTTTCGGCGAAAAATAAAAATTTCAAATCGTTCTAAAAAAATTATTGTTAGTCGCAGGGGTCAATTTCAATCATTTTCGGTGAACACACATACCCCTGAATTCCTACTCAGTTTCGAGAAAAAAATTCTTTACCGAAAAATACAATGTCTGACCAATGTTTGATCAATTCCACTTGAAATTTTTCGGCGAAAAATAAAAATTTCAAATCGTTCTAAAAAAATTATTTTTGGTTCCAGGGGTTAATTATAGTAATTTTTGGTGAATAGACATACCCCCGAATTCCTACCCACTTTCGAGAAAAAAATTCTTTACCGAAAATATAATAAATGGCTAGAAATGGTACCCTGAAATTTCATGCAAGTGTTTAGAAACGAATTGGACAATTTAAATGTTTCAAAATTCACTTCCTCATTTCTAAACTCGTTGACAATTGTTTCGAGTGACACGAAAATGTCTAAAAATGTCTAAAAGTCTCGAGACCCCATAAAAAGGGGTCGAAAAAATACACTGGATGAAAGATCTTCCCGTGAAAGTGGTCTGTGGTCGGATATTTTGAAATTTACAGCAGTAGGGAGCTTAGTAATCGATCGCTGTTACCAGAAGACGCGAAAACTTGACAAAGTAGTTTTAAATAGGTTGCACGAGTAGCCGGTTAAGTCTTCTTATTTATTCCAGCTGAAACTAGATACTTCGAGCGAGCCCTCCTTTCGCGCGTAATGAACAGTACCTCGGGGACTCAAAGATAGAAGGGGAAAAGAAAGCTCGTTGAAAATGCGATAAAGAATTTTCCAAAGCGACTACAGATGTAGCGAGCCCCGAACGAATTACGGTAAAACTGTGCTAATTACGATCCGCGTTTTAATCGCGTCCAAAGCATTCGGGGTAACAGGATCGCGTCTAATAGATTCCTCTTAAAAATTCCTCGACTCGTAATTTTTCCTGAATCGCTCCCGGGTAAAACAGGGGCGAATTTTATGAAGAAATTACGAATTCTTCGAGGAAGCGAGCGGTTTTTACAACGTACGATCGTTACGTTCTAGTTGCCGGACCATCGATCAAAACATTAACGTTATTATCTTCGTCGGAATGAAATGTAGACGAAATTGGAGGTTGTAAAATTTAAAAGGTCAATTTGCGGATGGGAACGATGAATTCGACGACGGGAATCCTGCACTCGATATTTCGACACCGTGTTCTCGTCCAAGGATTCTTAAATTGAACGATCGTAATAAATTGTAATTATACGCGTCGAATTTTCCTTGCGTCCGAAATATAAATTACGATAGTAAACGACGTACAGGGAAAAATTACAATTCGGATAGTCTTTTACAGTATTTCACGTTTGGGCTTTCGAATAATCATCGATCCTTCGAGACTCGTATTCTTTTAATACCGTCACGAACGGAGGTTCGAGAAGAAAATTACGACCTTCTGCAACAGCGTACCGACGTTTCGACGTCGCAGTTGGATTTGTCAAAAGCTTGGCTCTGTCCAAACAACGATATGCAATATTCATGCCCATAATCACCGATGAATGATTTAAAATATGTCAGCTGACAGCTCGCCGGCGATCAATCGAGCGATTACCGATTCACGGCATGGACCTGGGTACACGGGGTCATCGAACATAGGTCGATAAACGATGACACGAGCATTATACGAATAACTGCTTTATACTTTTGTGTCGTGCGTCAACCACGGCCAATGGCCACCGCGCGATCTCTAAATTCCTGGTGCGCTGCTCGCGAATCGTTTCGCTTCGAATGATAAATATACGATAAAACTAACAATAACGACTTTACCACCACTGTTATCCGTGTATTACGAGCTGCTATCCCGCGTGACAACTGTTTCGACGCTCGCGATACCTGTTGGTGGCGACACTTTTTGATACAAACACCTTCGATGATACTTTCGCTCTATCGTGTCACAATATTTTCTTGCAAGAAAGTCTAAATATTACAAAAGATCGACAGAGTTTCTGGAACCTCTCGTTACCTCTTTCTCGCTAATAAAAAACTAAATAAAAATTCTACGTCGTGCGTAATTTCGTAAATAACAAAGATTTTATTTAATTCATTTATTCGCGGGATTAAATACACTTTTTGATACAAACACCTTCGATGATACTTTCACTCCATCGTGTCACAATATTTTCTTGCAAGAAAGTCTAAATATTACAAAAGATCGACAGAGTTTCTGGAACCTCTTGTTACCTCTTTCTCACTAATAAAAAAATTAAATAAAAACTCTACGTCGTGCGTAATTTCGTAAATAACAAAGATTTTATTTAATTCATTTATTCGCGGGATTAAATACCCGTTAAAATTTGTACACCGATGGCCGAACACCCCCGCCAGATAAAGTCTAAATTTCGATGAAATCGATATTAAGAATCTCGGACGCGTGTCTTTAATCTCGCGTTTTAATCCGATCTGGAACGAGTCCGAGCCTGACTGGGGATACCTCGTCGAAAGTTATGTTTCGCATTAAGTCCGTATCGGAATCGAATTCGCCGCGTTCCTCCGGCAGGACTCCGCCTCGGGATTAAATTCGATCGCGATTCGACGTTTCCACCGCCCCCCCTAGCCACCCCCCGTTGCTCGAATAACATTTCGTTCTCCGCGGACGCGCGCTCAAACGCGTCGAAAATTTCCATCGAGCGTTAAAAATCTATCTTCCGCGGACTTAATCTCTCGAAACGCTCGCCAAATAATCCGAAAGAATAATCGAGCCGCCCCCTCCGCCCCTCGATAAATATTCTACATCGGCGGTTCCGTGTCCCGCGGCGATTCGTTAGCGCGTCGCGGCGCTGGCGATGAAATAATTTTCGATTCAATTAAGATATCCCGGGGAACGAGTTTTCGCGATAACCACGGGCACGCTTCGTCGTTCTAGCAAGACAGAACGGTGACTATCCTGCATAGATGTAGCTACAATAACTACGTTCACAAGCTCGAAGGACCACAACACAAATTTTTTGTCGAAGAGGACACCCTGTATACTTGATACGAATGATAAGACTGCGCAAGTAATAAAATAATTTCATTTATCACATTTATTATGGTCTGATGGACCTGTGTTTAGTAATTTAAAAAATATTTAATACCAAAGTGTTGGGGGGCCCGGTTATCGGCTAAAGTACAACTCAAATTCCTAGCGAGAGCATAGCTTCCTCTTCGTGGTTGGTAATACGCATACCTACCATGCTGCAGCAATTCTAGACACACAGGTTCGAAGCCCATTGGGAATTTTTTCGACAAATCATGATCATTGGACTGAATACCTGGTGCATTATCACCGACAGAAAACCCGTAATCTTCTTAACCCTCGGGTGAATTATCGTGGCTCAACGCAAGTTTAAACTAACAATTGTTTAACATATGTGAATGTAATCGTTTGAAAATTTATATAATCTTCCATTGACACCTTAACTGCCAGATCAAAAGTAAAATTTTGATTTTAGACCATTGTAAGCTACATAACCAAAAATTTTCACAAACTCTATTCAAATTTATTTCCCTCGACGTCACAACTTGAAAATGAATTTTTCCAGTATCATAATGGTAAATCCTGTCACCCATATATGGCAGTCAAAGTGTTAATTCATTATTGTGCTTTAAAGAAAAGTCGTAGTTGAGAGTCCCCACTCGAGGGTTAAATATACACGCTCGTATCTCGAAATGGCATTTTTTTCGAAAAAACCCCGAAAGCCACTCGGCGGAATCGATCGCTACGAGGCTCGTTTTTATCAAGGAACCGTGAATCCGAGTGGTTAATTTTCATCGAACGTAGAACGGAAAGGAGAACGTTCGTCTTGCTGGCGCGGCGTTCCCCCCCGGGGGGATAGAGATCGAACAAGATCAAGAGGGGAGGTACTCGTTGGATGCTCCGGATGCTGGGGATCCCGCAAACCCCCGTCTTCTTTTTTTCCACTTCGACCCTCGTCGAATATTTGACAGCGTTCCTACGCGCGCAAACTTCCCATCAGCGGCGTTCAGTCGTTCGTTTGGACGATGAGCCTACGAGGCGTGTGTGCACACGCGAACGCCAGCTGGGGGGTTGAACGAGGAAATCGGAGGAAAGAGGAAAAACGGCTGGTAGGAAAATAGGAAAGGAGAGAGTATTGCTTATTGGATCTCGAGGCTAGAGGTCCCTTAAGACCAAGTAACAGGGAACGTTAGGAGTCTGTACAATAAAAGATCCAGCGCCACCGGAAGAGGCTGGATGGATTAAAGCCGGGGAACCCTCAAGTTCCTAGTTCTGACTGCGATTTATGTGTGACGCGTCGCTGACGATTGTACGACGATTGTTTTCCCCGTTCCAACAAAACTGAGGGTTATTATTCGCGTTTTGATCAATTGATTCGTTCCTTTTTACGGATCTATCGTTTCATGAATAAATACGCGCACGTTTAATGAAATTCTATGAAAGTAAACAAAGGAACTCTTGTCTCCTTAATCGAATAAAGAATTATCGTGCCTCGAATAAAATTAATTAGTCGTCCAAAGCCACGGAGGACCAATTATATGGCAACCATATCATTTGGTTAACGCCACTGGTTTAGCTATGTCTCTTGGACAGAGAGGCGAGCTAACATACCGTACGCGTGGGAGGCGTGTTTCACGTGATTCAGAGTTGGGAGAATGACCCTGACCGATCGATGGATTTCAATCGGATTATAGAAACATTCGTTCGAGCCGACCTTACTCGATAAAAATTACTTCTCATGATAAATTCCTGTTATCCGTTCGAAAAACAGTGTACAGTAATTGCACGCTGTTTGAAAAAATCGGATTCGGCGGCCGCCTTGAATCAGAGTCGAGTAAATGGCAATTTGATTACGTTCGAAACGATACGATTACATGCAATCACGCGACGATTATCGTTCGATTGTGGTGCAATTATAATTATAAGTCTTCGAAGAGTGTAAAAGCTGTCTAATTATCGTGCCGTGTAATTACGACGCGATTACATGCAATTACGTTGTTGGAAGTGTAATTGGATTACATTTCGGCCGACTCAAAACAGAATTAATACGACACACGCATCGTGTATCGATGTGGAAACAGCGATGCAAAATTATTCGTACTTTTCACAAGATTATCCTGATTAAAACCAAATGCAATTTTGTTCGAAAATTTGTTAAATATTTGAAGCAAATTAATATCTCTTATGAAAACGTAATAAAACGTATGAAATTGTACAGTGTGTTAATAGCTACTACGCCTATGCACGCGTGGCACCGTTTTAAAGTTCAGCCAACCGGTTTTTAAATCCACAACGCCACTCGAGTCGAACGCGTAAATAATAGTGAAAACGAGTCCTAAAATGAGTGTCCCGTAGCCGTGAATAAAATTCGATCTTCGAGCGAATGATTGCTATAAATAGACCGCGGATGTTTATGCATTTGTGCATAATTCAACTCTCTAAGATACGAATTATTATATTTGGGGGTTCAGACAACCCTCTAGGAAGCTTCCATTTCAATAATTCTATTATCCGACTATAAAATAGCGATCTAGAGGGCGGAAACAAAGGGTAGAAGATGTTGATTAGGTGTTCGCGTTAACTGTAACTCGAACGACTCACTTTTAAGCTCCTTGCCGTCGGCGGTACAGCTTCCTTGCTCCAGGAGGCAGTTTACGTAGTTGTTCAGCAGACGATCGCTCTTCAGGATCTGATCTACGTCGATGTTGTCGTACTTGGTCGTGTACTTCTCGGCTGCCATGGCGCAGACCACCACGGCGAGGAAAACAACCGCGACCTAGATTCGTCGACGGACAGAAAAGCGGAAGTCTTTTATAAAGTGTATCCTCGAGATAACGCCTGGCTACGACGCCATAACGCGAAACAACCGTTCTCTCGCTGTTAAAGGGAGGCTAATAACGAAAACAGAGGCCCTTTGGGGATAACGTTATCGTTCCTCGGTGGTGGGACCGCGAAATCAAACTTGAGAGATCACTTTCCCCTTCTTCTTCTTCTTTTTGTTATGATCGCTACTTTACGATATCGAGAGAGCCATATAAACAGTATCCTTGAAGCTCAGAATTTCAAATGCAATAATCGAAAATTATAAATTAAAATCAACACATTTTTACGTTCACGAGGCATTCTTTTTCGCGCCCATTGTACGAACAAATTTAAACAAAATTAGTGTACGTTTGAAAAATTCAACGAACGGTGGTTAGAACGAAGTCGTTTCCGTTCTTTGGGAGAAAAATCAATAGCGATCGTGCTAACGAAATGCACGGAGTCCTCGTCAGGGATAAGTCCAATGAAGCGGAAGGTCGACCAGCGTGTAACAGAATAGAAGATCGTGAATCTGATTGTGGACAGTTAATAGGACGCAATTAGTAACAGATCCGAGGTAAGTGGCTCTCGTAACTGATAGAGCCCCCAAACCGAGACTCCCACTTGACTATACCCCGGGCCGCTGATAATATCGGAATTTAATATTCCACTGATCTAACCGGGATCCGATCTAGATTTAACCCCACTTTAATCCGAACTTAATGCAAATTTGCTTCGCGGCCGACGCATAACGAAGGCTCAACGCGTGTACCTAAGGCGGGCAAAATCTAGACTTAGGAGACAACCGCCGCGCTTAGTCCGCTGCCCCGATCCTGTTCTACACACTTAATCTGTACGCGTAAACCGGATTAGACGTCAACGATTCCGCGCGACGCGTACCGATTTATTATTTTTCCACGATACAAATGTTAAACTAACAACGCCTGGCGTAAACAAGCTGTTCGCAACAACAAAAATCCGGTGAATCTGTTGGGACGGTAGAATAATCCTCGTATTCGTTACGAATGAAAAGAAACACCTGTTTCGTATGGATTTTCTTCCCATTTATGTTTACCAAATTCTTTTTATTTTACATTAAAATCGATGGAGAGGTATAGTGTAAAGGATATGCAATAATAATAATGTCAACAATACGCGGTGTTCCTAAGCGATCACCCATTTTAGTACCAAACCGCGCCCAACGTTGCTTAATTTCGGTGATCGGACGAGAACCGGTGTTACCAACGTGGCGTGATCGTTGACAAACATCATTTTTAATTTTATTCAAACACTTGAGAAGCAAATCCACTACATTATAGTGTACTGTGACTGTGTGTACCAGCTCTGAGACGATCGAGCTGAGAAAAGAATAGCAGATTGACAGTAACCGTTTAAACGCAACGTATCGATAACGAACGAAGGAAACTATTCGCTGATTTTCCCTCGGAGGATATCAAACCGAAGCCACGTCTGTTCTACCGACTGCACGGACCGTTTTCCTTATCTCGAATCCATATTCCTCTCCGCAGTTTCCGAATCACCGCAATAATATCTACCCCAGCACCATCGTTCCATGTTCCTGTCCCCGCGGAAACGAGAAAGTCATCGCGATATTATTTCGATACGTTTTTTGTTTTTTTTCCGAATCCATCGAAAACCGCGTCGATCGTTCCGACTACGAGTTTAAAAAAAAAATCCCAATCTCCGCCTGTATCGATCGATAATCGTCGACCTGTCGCGAATGCTCGACTACACGCCTCTTTAAACAGTGTAACGTCGATAATTACAGAATCGGTGTCAACGACAGTGTGTGCGGCACACGTATACAAATCCTATGATGCAATCGCGACCGTTGCCATCGGGGAATGCTTCCTAACAGCTTTCACTCTCGCAAATAAATTTCACTTGGCTCGGATTTGTTTCTCATTTTTCACGAACCGCCGGAACGACGTCTGCCCGCAAAATTATTTCTACGAACGCGACGTTACACACGCTATGGGCTATTGATCCCTCGATCGAATCTAACAAACGTAAATATAAGTTTCAACGATCTTTCAAACGATTCGAGTACAATGTTTTGATAATGTCAAGTAATTTGATGAATTATTTAAAAAGATATTAAAACTCGACGAAGTCTGGATGCAAAATTATTTCTACGAATGTTACCACGCTCTGGGTAATTGATCCTTCGATCGAATCTAGCAAACGTAATGTAAATATAAGTTTCAGTAATTATCCAAATGGTTCGAGTACAATATTTTGATAATCGATGTCAAGTAATTTGACAAATAATTTGGAAAGATATTAACACTCGACGACGTCTGGCCTCAAAAATATTTCTACGAACATTACCACGCTCTGGGTAATTGATCCTTCGATCGAATCTAGCAAACGTAGTATAAATATAACTTTCAACAATCTTCCAAACGATTCGAGTAGAATATTTTGATAATGTCAAGTAATTTGACGAATAATTTAGAAAGATATTAACACTCGACGACGTCTGGCCGCAAAAATATTTCTACGAACGTTACCACGCTCTGGACAATTGATCCTTCGATCGAATCTAGCAAACTTAGTGTAAATATAACTTTTAACAGTTTTCCAAACGATTCGAGTAGAATATTTTGATAATGTCAAGTAATTTGACGAATAATTTAGAAAGATATTAACACTCGACGACGTCTGGCCTCAAAAATATTTCTACGAACGTTACCACGCTCTGGGTAATTGATCCTTCGATCGAATCTAGCAAACTTAGTGTAAATATAAGTTTCAACAATCTTCCAAACGATTCGACTGCAATATTTTGATAATGTCAAGTAATTTGACAAATATCGATTGATTTTCGTGAGGCAACAAACCGAAGATTTGGAAGCTAGTATCGAGTTTAAGGGAGCAAGCGTGTTTTCTCGAATGATTTCCAGTTACGGTGCGCATTTTACGGAACGATCTTCGACACGGCACTACGGCTAATCTTCTCTCGACGCGATAACTTCGGTAGACGCACGCGTGAAAATTTAATGAGACGCGAAAGACGTTCAGGCTCCTCGTAGTTATAACGTTTAATAGTCTTACGGTACGTTAATCGTCCCCGACGTTGCTCGACACTGTCGCGCGAATTTGACTACGAATTCTATTAGATTTTTGCGTGCAACGAACGATTGCAACGAGGATCTCTCGATCTCTGGTGAAATTTGAAGCGAAACGACAAAGGGCAGTAATTAAGATCAGTTTAACTATAGCAGGCAATAAAATCAAAAGAAAAATGATTTTTAAAAATAACACCACTTTCAAGTTTGATTCTCGAAGGGAACAAGGTATTCAAGTTATTTTAGTACTATAAGTGTACGCCAAATTCCGTGCCAATCGGTGCAACAGATTTCGGAACCAATTAAAAAAGTTTTGCGAAAAACGCGTTCCGCGGATAAAAAAAAAAAAATAAAAAAGCAGAGTTTCGGGCGCGGGATATTGCGCGTGTAACTGGCGTCGAACAACCCGTGAAAAGAAGTATGGATTTTTCGGAAAGTTTACAGTAGAATACCGCCTTAACGAGCGCGCGTGGAACGAAACACACGTTTTCCCCGAGCACCAACCGATATTCGCAACCGTGCCACTGACCCGAATATCGTTCGCCAGTGAAAGTGCCGTCATCTTTTCCGATCTAAACTTCCGACCTGTTTCAACGCGTAAGAAACTTTCCAGGTTAAAATATGCTGATCCTATCGCGAAGAAGATAGACTTCTTTCGCGCCTCTTTGCGAAATCACACCGGTTCCTCCATCGAACGGAAACGAACGGTAAAAAAGAGATCGGGATCTATGTGTATCGAAAGGAGAAAAAACAACGCACCGTGCGCGTCGCTGCGAAGGTTAGAGTCGATCGAATGAAAAAGCTACGGAGAGGGGTGAAGGATAATGTTCGGGGAAAAAAATGACGGAAAAAAGCACAATGAAGAAAGATATCGGGCATTAGGGAAAGAGGAGAACGGAAAGAGAAAGGAGGAGGGAAGAAACCAGCGCTTACCTTCATGTTAGCAGCTTGTGTCGAGCAGAAAGCGAAGTTAAGCGTGACTGATGCTGGCTTCGGCACCGATCAACTGTTTTATACCCGACCGTTTGCCCAGCCTCCGAATTCGTCGGATCGGTCTCGCCTCCTCTTTCTCTCACCTATCGGCTACCTGCTCTCTGCTGTCCTCCTCCCCCCCCCCTCTGCCTAACAAGGAAACTCTGACGAGGCGTAGAGCGAAGGAGGAAGGGAACGAAACGAAAGGTAAACGCAGTCTCTGCCTTCTCGGAATCACGATGACACGTACCCGTTAACAGACCACCGTCCATTGGCTTTTTTTTCCACCGAAATTAATGCTACGCGCGCGCGCGCTCCGAGGATCGAACCCACGAAACGCTCGATGGGCAAACGCGTCGTTCGTTAATTAGCTCTTCGTTAGCGCTACGGCTGCCAAGGGCAGCGGAAAAATTGCTTTATCCGGTTCTAATAATAATGACAACTTGCCCATACTCGATGCTACGCGTGAATTTTTTCCACGAGACCATTTGGACGCTGCTCGATCGAAAATTGTACGGTATTTTTATAATCTCGTTGAAATTTTTTTTGTTTCTCTGTTTGCATATAAAATTGTAAAAATTTCGTTTAAGCATCGCTCTGAACAGTAAATAAGTTGTTGTTTCAATATGTAAAAAAGATTGATCGTTACGCAGGCGATGCATTTAACGCGTCGAGGATGAACTTAGCCTTTGGCGTCTAATTAAACTTCGCGCCGAACTTTAGCCGTGAAACGGATCGCGATGAATCATAGAAAACCGATAATCCAGCCTCACGTCGATGAATAAGGATAGGCGAGAATAAAAATTAAACGATGACGGTATCGGTTTGCCAATTCCGCTTTTTTTCAGCAATCGTTATGCAACATTTGAATAGCAAGAAAACGCGAATAAACATTAGTCGTGTGCTAACGATTACCGCGAAATATTGTCAAACGTCGTCAGGAGTACGTACACACGTACTGTAACTCGAGATTTCTTTGAAGAAAGAATTATGGTTCTTCGCGGAGAGTCTCTGTTACGAAATGTTATGGGACCCGGACCGACGAGTTGAAAACAAGATTTTTATGCAATACTCGGAATAACACGTGTATCGATCAGGCGTTAAACTGGGAAAGAGGATTATTAAAAATAGTTGATTAATTAAATATTGTCTACTCTCCTTTGAAAAGTTCAGTTTAAAAAATTGCAATAATTTCTTATTACGTTTCGATACCAAAGCAATTCTAACCTTCTATCCCTCGCGAGTAATGAAATTAATATTTAGAGCTCACGTCAAAGACAGAAAGTGTACGTTACGTTGTAAAATTCTTCATATTTTGGACTGTTGTTTCAACAATAACATGCAATGGCTGAAAGAGTTTTTACTCTGGTTAAAATACATAAAAACGAGCGTACGTATGAACTCGTTCGAAGGCCTTTCGTGAATGGAATGTTGCATCAAGTTTTGTAACAAGATGATTAAGTAAACCGCTTCGTTGTGTAAATCATCTTATTCAGGGACAACGTGCGTACACGCGAAACGGGTATGATTTAAGGTAAGAAATATTCCTTGGTCCTGTTATAACATCGCGTGGACGAGGAATCAGTTTAACGACAACTTCGAAGGATATCTTTCTTATTATTTGGATCGAAAATATCGGGAAAAGAGTACGAGACTCTTTGTCGTTGCAATTCGTTCGTTTCGATTTATAGTTTGACGACAGCACAGCGACTGAAATGAAGTCATTCGGCCAAAGTTCGCGTTCGACGCGTATGTTTAGCGGACGCCGTTAATGTCTGCGAATTACAGGGAATGCCAAATAATTTTATGCGCTCGTTTAGATGGAAATGTTTGATCTCGAAGTCGTTAATTTCGAGCAGCCATTAGAATTCGCAACGCTATTAGAGAGAGACCGCGTACCGCCATTAACAAGGCAAATTTTCTAACGAAACGCCGATCAAATTACAATTATTTGTTAACATAAACAGGGGAAATTAAATAATATTTCTATGGTAACCGCGAGGACGATATTTGGCGTCGTTTATTTCTACAAATTGAAATATATTTTTGATTCAAAACACAGGGCTAGTTCCATCGTTTTTCGGTTTGAGGGACCAGTATACTTACTATTGTGTAAGCATCGTTATCGAACACGAATTTCTATGCCCACATTTCACAGTTTAGACAACCAATTTAAAGGCGGGTTCTCGAATGTCAATGTCATGAATATTTCACCGATTCATCGCATACCTTACGTTTCGAGGATTCACCGACAATGCCAGGGATCGTAAAAAGCGTAAGAATGCTATTACCGCGACGAGGAGTTATTCGGTGATTTTTAACAGACTGGACGTTGGTAAACTACCAACTTTCGAATCTAAAAAAGATACGATCCACGAGAGAATGATCTAGCAATCGTAATACGTTGCTGAAATTAGTTCCAGCCATGTTTTTTATCATTTTTCAGAGAGACGTTCATTGTCCAGCGTTTGGCGAGCAACAGAGCAATAATGCTCGAACCCAGATCTTGCTACGGTTCTGCTTTACACTTTCTTTTATACGTCCGTTTAAGTATTAAGGTTGTCTAAACGCGCCACTCTGAATTTGTACGTGGAATATTCCATGTAAAATCGCGACGGTGCTCGGTGTCGTGTCCTCGTTCGCTTTGAATTTATTACAAGTTTGCTCGCAAGCTCGAGTTACCGTCTTCTCTATGGAAAAATATTCGCCCAATAAGCCCTTCGATCGTATCCTCTAACGATTTAAATTAACGCGTCGAATCAATGTCTACAATTTAGATCGAACGATCGTTCCGGAAAATTCGAATCAAGTTTAAACCGGGAAATTATTAAATTCTTCCCATTAACGAGCGCGCACCGACGATGGAAGAAGGTAATACGAGTATTTAAATAACGCTTATTCTCCGCGCCCTGTAACGTTATTTACATGATAATGGTACGCAAACTATTTCCTGGAATTTATGGCCGCGTGTGCACCAACAACTTGCACCTACCTTTTGCCCTCGGCAACCGATGCCACGCCTGGCTCCTCGGAGATTTCAACGAAATTACACGGGAAACTTTTAATTTACAACGAACATATCGCGCGGAGAATCGATGCAATAAGAAGGAACGTTTTAATTTTCCGAGGAATGGAAAATATTAACGCACGAACATTGTTTGTGATACGATACGAAGAAGAAAAATAATTATTACAACGAATACTAAGGTTTCGATATTAAGGTTAAATATTATATAACTGCTCCGATACTTTGCAAAATCGTGTCGCAAACTTCCAGATGTTTGTCTCGAACGGCGCTTTAAAAAAGCACTGAATAAATCATTACCAGTGATTTGTACACTTTTAGACCGTTACGCCGTTGCGCTCGCGAACGATGAAATAAGTCTTTAATTCCAAAAAAAGATTCGCGTTTCTAGGTATTCAAACTTCTTCCCCCGGGCAGAGGCTACGCCATTGAATCACTCTGGGTAGCAACTTATAGATAAGATTTCTACTTAAAGTCTGAAACGGAGGTCTCCGGGTTGTAACCGGTAATATTCTTTCCTCTGACTACTGTGTATAAGGACTCCACTTAAAACGATCTTATAGATTCTGTCTCCATAAAATAGCGGGCGAAATTGGTGCTCGAATTTGTAGAATTCCCGGGGCAAAATTTCGTTGTACTTGAAAATCACGCGAACGGGAGGAACTTACCTCCGTTTACGAAGATGATTTGTAAACTTTAAATCATTAACACCCCCTCAAATCGATGCTAGTTAATTTTTCGCGGGAAATTTGATTGTTAAAAACCACGATGACGGAAAGAGCGAATACCTGTGCAGTGTGGTCTTATTTGAGGCGATTAAACGATCCGTAATAACAGACTGGAATACCGGAAACGTTTCATTGTCCAGGATCAGATCCGGTGGATACGGCATAAGGGAACTGCTCTCTAGTTACATATGCGCGACGCATCCGAAGTTTGACCGAGCACTGTCATTATCGCTGCGATTATGCATATTCAGATAAGCAATCAACACCATTGAGTCACCGACCAAGGGTCACAGACTGGAACAGTGCAGAGATTTAGCCGAGCACGTCGGTGTACAGTACACCTACGGTAACACGATAAATAGATGGCCTCGATCGACCAGAAAACTTCCATCGCGATCGAGAGATCGATCGACTATTACAACGATCAATTTCGAAATTCTAACAAACTTTGGGAATTATTGGGAGTCCCAATTATTTTACCGATAAATCAGATTATTAATATTTCAAAGTTTACGGTTTATTAATTGTACATTTCATTCCCCTTATAACTTCATTAGCCTATTTTTATCACCTTTTTCGTCTACTGTATCCAATAATAGATTATATTTTGTAATGAATCTACCGTCTACAATTACAAATATTGAACATAATGTGTCTCTCACAAGCGCTCGACCCATCGATTGTTATACAAGGTGTTCCGACAACCCTGGGAAAAATTTTAATGGGGGATTTTAGACACCAAAATAAGACGAAAATCAAGAATAACAATTTGATGATTGAGGCTTTGTTCAAAAGTTATTAACGTTCAAAGTTCCGCCCGTCCTGAATTTTTTTCTCGAAAATGCGCAGGATTTCGAGGGTAAGTCTATTCACCAAAAATGATTGTAATTCACCCCCGCACCCGAAAATAATTTTTCCAAAACGATTTGATATTTTTTTTTCCGGTCGAAAAATTTCACTTTCTTGAATTTTTTTCTCGAAAATGCGCAGGATTTCGAGGGTAAGTCTATTCACCAAAAATGATTGTAATTGACCCCCGCACCCGAAAATAATTTTTCCAAAACGATTTGAAATTTTTTTTTCCGGTCGAAAAATTTCACACCTTCTCGAATTTTTTTCTAGGAAGTGGGTAGGATTTCGAGGGTATGTCTATTCACCAAAAATGATTGTAATTGACCCCCGCAACCGAACATAATTTTTCCAAAACGATTTGAAAAAAATCCAAGGTCCTTGAAATGTAGTGCCCTTGGAGCCATTTACCTTTCTCCTTCGGCATGTTTTCGTAAATCCATTAATAACGGAGTTATGACTACAAGCGATATTAGATAAATGTCTACGAGAGATGCTCCAA